TTTTTTTAAAGACTGAACACTGGAAAAGTTACTAGATGGTGGCACAATGGGGTTGGGACACATATCTCTTGACTCCCAGTCATGGGTTATTCATACCAGGCAAAGAATGAAAATTGGGCACCTTCAACTCACCGTGCTGTTTATTGATTTTACTTAGAAATTGCTATGGTTTTCTCCTTGTGCTTCCAACTTCTCCTAAAATTCTCCGCCATGGGAGGAGCAGACAGATCCATTGAGAAGCAGCATTGTGAAGCCAAAGAACCACCAGCCTCAGAGCCAGACCACTTGATATTCCAATGACTCTGTCATCTGCCAGCCTGGGATCTTGGACTGATTACTTACGTCTCTAGCTTCATTATGCAGGGATTAATAAGACTAATCATGTAGAACATGGAGATGACGTAAAGTAAGTGCCCATCACATTAGGTGATAAAAAATGAAATCCATTATTACCAGCATGGATTTCTAGAATTTATGTATCCACTGAGTCTTCCTCATTTTTCCATTCCTCAAATCATCACATCTGTAATTAATTTTTTTAAAGATTTTATTTATTTATTTTTAGAGGGGAAAGGAAGGAGAGAGGGAAACATCAATGTGTGGGTGGTTGCCTATCAAGTGCCCCCTACTGGGGACCTGGCCTGCAACCCAGGCATGTGCCCTAGACTGGGAACAGAACAGGCAGCCCTTTGATTTTCAGGCCCAAACTCAATCCACTGAGCCACATCAGCCAGGGCTTAAAATTCTATAGCACTTAACATGACTATGTGTGCTTAGAAAATGACTATGAAATATTTCAAACATACAGAAAATAATATACTATCACTTATGTAAGTATCCATTAGCAATATATGCTGTCTTATATGTTTTAAAACTTTATATAAATTACTCATATTATGCTGCAACTTGTTCCACTCTCCCGAGTTTTATGTTTTTTGAGATTTACCCATGTTGATATATGCAGATTTGTTAGTTATTTTAAATGCTCTATAGTGTTCAATCGTATGTGCCTAACAATGTATTTCTGCATTCTCCTACGGGTGCACATTTAGATCTTTTCCAGTTTTTCCTCACTTACAAAGAATGTTGCAATAGACATCCTACTCACAATTGCTTCTTTGGGTGCTTGTGGGAGAATTTCTCTAGGGTACAAATGCAGAGGAGGAATTGCTAGGTTTGTAAATATGCCCATTTTCAACATCACTAGCTATTGTCCAATTACGTTCCAAATGGCAATTGCATTTTTTGTTGCAGTTTGTGGAGTTTTTGTTTGTTTATTCTTTATTAAGATATATTTTACATGCCATAAATTTACTCATTTAAAGTGTACGATAGTTTTTATATATTTGGTGAACTATGCAACTGTTACCATAATTTTAGATTCACGTATAATGTTTTTATTTATAAATATACTTAAGACATCTATCTGTAAAGCTGGTTTATGTGTTCTGTCCAGTGTATCTATGGAAATCCCCTGGGAGGAGCTAGTTTGTACAGATTTCCTTGTTTTTAAACCTGTTGTTTGAGTAGGTGGCTGAAAGGAACATACCTAATTAGATTATGAAACTGCTTAAATGCAGGTTCTTGTTATATGCTATAAAAAGCATTCCTATTTATTCACCTCAGAGTAAAATGACTCAGAACTAACTCTATTTGAAGGGAATAGGAGGAGTGCTATACTAAATAAAGGAGTTATTTTTCCCCCAGAACAATTCTTGCTGAAGCCAGAAAGGGAGGAAGGTGTGAACCAGCACAGATGTTGGAGTAAACAGTCATGAAAGCCAGTGCATTGGCGGAGGAGGGGAGAGAGCAACATCTCCACACCACACACACACACGCACACACACACACACACAGGTTAACTTGGTGAGCTTTTAATCAAATAATGTTCATGCTCTGAGTTATTTATCAATGGTACTTTGAAATGCTAAATTTACTCCATTTCAAACTTAATGTGTTGACAATGTGGATTGCCAAATATGACTTAAAAGAAAATTTATATAAGAATATTATTCATATTTGGCTACTAAATGTTCCAAATCTAGTACATTTTTTTCTACTTGGAATCTCATAAGGAACATCAGGTTCATGGACAACAACACTGGTCCTCCTGTTAGTTCTTTCCTTTTAGTCACTGGCTTAGGGTCCTCAATTTTCAGATGCTATGGTTTCATTTTATCAGGTGCTTGACAGCTTTCTGAAACTTCCTCCTTGTCCTTCAGACTTGCCTACAAGTACAGAGAGTACAGTCACATTCTGTGACTTGCCCAGCAGGTGACATTAAGACCTGGCAATGAGGAGGAAAGGCACAGGGTTGACTGCCCAAGGCAAATACACTGTACCTCACCTTGCCTGCCATGCAGCCATGGCAACAGCTTCTCAGCCTTGGGCCAGCCCCACCCCAGTCATGGGTCAAGAGGCTTTACCTGAGGTAGGTAACAGCCTGACTCCACAGTGAAGTGTGGAACATGGACTGAAACGATTCTGAATTGGGATGTTTATACTGGGCCACCCTAAATCCTCAGCAACCTGGGTGACTTGTCAGATTTTCCCATGAGTCTGTGAAAATCACCTTGACCTACAGCATCCTCTGCTGAGCAGGGAGATGGCTCTGCAAAATGTTGTTTACATGTCAATTTAGTATTTACTACTTGTACCTGAAGTGATTGGGCTTTTCAGGCTTTGGACACTGTTCACAGTCAGCAAACCAGGCTTGGGGCTTAAGAATGAGCTGCAGTCAATGTGAGAACCCAAGGACCTGCTTCTGTAACTGGCTGTCACTCCCTATGCATTGAGGCCTGGCCCTTACAGCAAGTTTGGGGTCCACTCCAAGGCCCAACTAATGTCCTAGCATCTGCAAAGGGGCAGGACAAGAGAATGAAATGGAAAACAGCCATGACTTGCACTGGAAGGGATTAAGTCCAGTAAGCAACCTTGAATTCAGGGTAGAAATCCAGTTCACTCAGACAGGAAGGAGCCAAGGGGTGAATGCTTCTCTCACTACTTCCTCTGCTCACCCTAGGAGGGAACAGTCTAATTACACTTCATCCAACCTGTGTTCTCAAACAATGCAAACTTATCTAGAAGTTGCTCAGCCCCAGAAACAGGCTGAGTTAAATGAGCCCTCTGCCCCCAACTGAAATGCATGCTTCATTTATCTGCTGCTTCTGAGTATGAAGAGCAAGACAGCTGAGGTGTACATACCTGGGCCATTCTCCCGAACTGGCGTCAGAGCTGGCATTCCTGGACTCTACCTTCCTGCTTACAGTCTATGGGCTCACTTCTGTGACTTGTCACAGTCCTGGGGCCATGCTTTCATCCTCCCAGCTGCTGTTCCCTCCACACTCACACCCACTATTAACAGCTGGCACATCTCTTGCAGTTCAGAGGGCTCCTCTCAGTTTTCAGTGTCCGGATGGGAGCCATTCTGCACACGGAAACAAGTCCCTGTCTTCCGTTTAAAACCTATTTTCTACAAGTTGTAAGGGTTCCAAGAGGTGGGGTGTAAGTAGTTATAAACTCACATTTGCGCTCTCCCCCACCCCAAGATGCAGATTAAATGTCGGTAGGCAACAGTAATAGTTCTACTAGCATAGAACTGGAATAGTAGCTGTGTGTCAGGCACTATTTGTGTGCTTCATACCTACTACTGAATCCTCAAAATAACCCGATCAGGGAGGTATTATTATCTTTATTTTGGGGTGAGGGCTCTGAAACCCAGAAAGGCTAGATGTCTTGATTGAGCTCACATTTTATAGAGGATGGGGTGGGATTCAAGCCCAGACGGGCTGACTCCAGAGCAGGGGTGCCGGAGGGTACGAGGGAAGGGGAGGCAGTGGGAAGAATCCACTAGAGTGCAGGTGGAAAGAATTTTAAAATAATAGTGAAACCAATCAAATTACTGTCCCATGTATAAGCACTTCTCAGTAAAGCAGTAATGAAAGTATTCTTCCTCAATTGGGTGGACCCCTCCCATCATCTTAGGCTGGACGCCACCCTGTCTGTACATGGCACCTGACAAAGGAATGACTGGGGTACAACTGAGAGGAGCCTGACTGCAACTCTGAGGGTGGCTGAGTAAATGCATGGAAAGAACCTGGGGCTTTAAAATTACTTTGGTAAAATACATGCAAAATTGGCCACTGTAACCATTCAATTCAGTGGCATCAAGGGCATTCACAATGTTGTGCAACCATCACCACTATCCACGTCCAGAACTTCATCACCTTCAACAGAAACTCTCGGCACTCATTAAACAGGACTCTCCGTTCTTCCCTCCCCCAGCATCTGGTCACCTCTCTTCTTCTTTCTGTCTCTAGGAATTTGCTAATTTTAGGTACACAGAATATTTCTCCTTTTGTGCCTGGCTTTTTTCACTTAGCATTGTATTTTCAAGGTTATATCTTTGTTGTAGCCTGTATCAAAATTTTATTCCTTCACAAGACACATTAACATTACGCTGTAGGAACTTTTTGAGGTACCATATGTCAAGGGACCTTGTGTTAAGGTGGATGATGAGTTTACCCTGTGGTGCAGGTCACGTGCATTGGTTTCCTGTTTCTTACAGCTGACAGTACCCCACCTGCATAAGGCACAACTCAGATTCTTCTGCAAGCTGCAGGGTGGGCAACAGGCCCACAGAGGATTCAACATGGAAGCTCTCCAGCATGTGGCATAATTCTCCAGAACTTCCCCGTGGGTTGTGTGTGTAAATCTAAATTTATGTGTGGGTACATATGTATACGCACACAAACAACTGACTAAGCCCATACCTTTACCTTTTTGCATCCTCAGTTTAGCTATTTTTATAATCCCTTGTTACAACTGTGAAGTTCAACATATACATTTATTTGGTACTTAACATTTTTCATCATAAAAACGCCACATTGAGAGAGACATTGTGCTTGGTGCTCTACAGAGGAGCACAGATCAATGCCTCTTTTCAAAATACTTCTCCACAATATGCAACAGGGTTAGTCATAATCAAGTTTGGTCAAGGGTAAAGAATACAAACATTTATTTAAGAAATATCATCTAGCATCAATTGATCTGAGTTTGGCAGGCACAAAGAATGGGTGATTGTTTTGTTGGTGTTTGAAATTTGAGATACAGGAAGCAGTATGGCAAAAAAATACTATTTATTAAAATTGAAAAAGAAAAGGTAGTAAGCTACTTTGATGGAAAGGGACTTGAGGTTAAGAAAACGTCACCATGCAATGAAAACAATCGTTTCTTCAAGTACTTACTAGTAGAAAGGAAGTTAGACTTACTTGCACGATCTGGGGGGTATGTTCCTTACGGAACATTTGGGTTCCTGGCTACAAAGAGGTGAATGCAGACCGGTGTGAGCTGACCCCAGGACTAGAAGGAGATTCAGAGAAGTGGGATAAGGAGAAAGAAAAGTCAGGCAGAATGTCTTTGCTCAAGGGTCCTTATGAAAATATGTTTTTTAAAATGAGTAGATGTGTATTACAATTTTTTCTGTGACTATAAAAGTATAACAGGCAGCACGAGAAAAGCTGTAAACATATAATACCCTTTCCTTGTAAACGGACAGACCTCCTGAATCTATATTATATATCAGCATTACAAAATTCTAATTTTTTTGCTTGTTCCCTTTTCTGGTTTTTAGTTGTTCACATTCTCAGAGAGAACAAAGGCCTTTATAGGCCCATCAATCCAGTCCTTTTATTTCACAGATAAAGAGAGTAAGCAGCTTGCAATGGCCACATTCATCCTCAGCAGCAAAGACTGAACAAGGTCTCTTGATCTCCCTAGGCCCTTTTTGCATTATAACAGGGCATTATTCAAACCACACTCCATCCTGGTCTGTACCCGATGATACCCATCAAGGCTGGGGCAGAAGGCTGTGAGGGAAAGGAATAGGTCTGTTTGGGGCTTCTTAGAAGAGGAGGTGATAAAACACATCTCCTACTTCTATCCCGACTCTAAATACTGAGAGACGGACAGACAGAGAAGTGGGGGGCAGACAGAGAGAGACTATACTGAACACCTGAGAAATGCTTCCTGGATAGAACTTTGTGCATGAGAGAAATTTTTTAAGGGGTAGATGAGAGGTAATTGATTAAAGAGTATCTGGCTGAGGACACACAATCATAAACCTTTCAGCAGCTCTGCAATAAAGCCCTGGGTATAGGAGATGACCACCAGGGGGAGCCTCAGGGTGGACATCTCCACCCTGCTCCACGGAGTCTCCAACCACCACACTAACAACTGAGTTACTAATTGCTGGTGGTACTTGCCTCCAAATGTGCCAATTCCAGAAAAAGAAAATACATTTGTCTGGATTCTTTTTAAAAGTCCCACCATTCTCACATCTATTTCTGATTTCACATTCATCAGCACTCAACACTCTGCATGTTCTATCCTGGCTAACCAGATTCTCTGGGTGACAATACGGGGGTGCTTTACCACAACACTCATGAGGGGTGTCTCAAGAGGGAGGGCGATCAGATCTCTCTGGGCCAGTCTTATGTGTGTCTTCTAAGAACGAAATTCAGTGGAAGTGTTTTATATAGATATATTTTAAAGCCTCATCTGAGGAGATATGTATTAATGTTTTTAAGAGAAAGGAAGGGGGATAGAGAGAGAAACATCAATGTGAGAAACATCGATCCATTGCCTCACGTACATGCCCCGACCAGGAATCGAACCTACAACGTAGGTATGTACCCTGGCTAAGGAACAGACCCACAACCTTTTGGTGTATAGGACAATACTCCAACCACCTGAGTCACCTGGCCAGGGCAAAAAGTGTTATATTTTTTAAATGTCTATAATATAATTTTTTGTTCAAAGTGCAACACTAGGACTATGAATTGAAAATATCCTTTGTCATATTCATGAACTAGGAAAACTGACAGCAAAGTTCTTGAAACTCTGACATTCTCAAGTTTACTGAACATTAAAAAGTACCACAATTCTTTGGTTGGCAGGAATTCATCTTCCTCGTGTTCCACAGGTTCCTATAAGAACAGGATCTCTTTTATTTAAAGTTTTCCTGGAAACTGCTTTCTGAAGTGAAGATAAATCATTTGTTTTATAAGAAAAGAGCCAGCCATGTGTTCTGTGCACCATCTCAGGCAATAAATTGCATTTGTACCATTTTTCTTGTCTCTTTCCATATAGCTTGTTGTGTCTTATACACAGACTCCTGAAAAATTCTTTCAACTTGCGTATGGAAGCCACGACTTTCTTCCTCCAGGGCATTGATGGTTCGAAGAGCAAAGGGAGTCCTTTCCCGGGGCAGGGGATTGTTCAGGGGCCGCATGGGTATAACTGAGTTGTATTTGTGCTGTCTGTTAACAGAGTTCATTAGGGATGTATAGAACTGGAACTTACACCAGGTGTCTCTTAAAAAGTTTTCCGTCAACAACAAGATTGTCCATGCAGACCCATTTACAGCATCATCTAAATTCTGTAGATGCTGTCTGCCACATGGCATCTCAGCAAAAATAATTCCAGGTTTGATGCCAAAGCGATTTTGGAGCAGATCCTGGACTCTGAGAGCTTCGCTTATGTCATCTTCTGCATGCAGTATCACAAATTTGAAGAACACCTCTTCGTCTTCCTCTTCGTCAGGCATCCCGTCCACTCCCTCAGCTTCCCGCTGCTCTCCTGTCGGCATCTCTGTCGGACTGCTGTGCCCAGCAACATCGCACAGGGGGATTTTAGAGTTCCTGGAATCTGACTCATGATGTCTTTGACTTGTATCCACACTGTGGCTTTTACCCAAAGAGAGAGAAAGAGGGCAAGGATCTATTTTAGACTTTCCGACACCCATTATAAATATCCAAGTTGGAAGAGAAAAGCTTTAATTCTTGGCATTTCTTTTCATTCTAAAAGAAGAAATAACAAAGAGAAGAACACTGTAAATTTAATCAAAACATTAAAAATAGAAATTTGCATTCAGCCTGAAAAGCTCAAGAACATGACAATATATAGGTCCTAAGAAAGAAATGCCAAACAGATGAGTGGGAAACAAAATCACTTGTCTTTGGTGAGCTCCTAAGGGCTACTACAGATAGTCCAGGGTAAGTTAAACCGAGGGGTCCAGGGAAATGTTATAGGAGACACTTGGAAATATCGAATGGCAACATTATATTAGCACTATAAACCTCCAGAATAAAATGAATTACTTTGGTATTGTAGTGAAGAGGTACCACAGCACTCTATCAATTTGGAGCTAAAATATAACTTCTCCATTATCAAGTTATTGTGTAGAGTAGAAATATGAAAATCTAAAAAAACAATATTCAAATATTAGGTACAAAATTTATTTTTGTATCAAACACAAATACAAAACAGAGTACAAATATCCTAAAGCTGGCTAGCAGGCAGCTCCTACTGACTCAGCACAGAAAGACTGAAAATGCCAAGCATCACTGGTTCAGAGCTTTTTTATTTTTCTAAGGTCAGGCGTTACTGCTGTAATGGGGCTGGTGGAGAAATTATAATGAAATTATAATAAGGGTCGTGAAAAGTCAGGCAAACTTTCTTCCAGCTAATCCTGGGAATACTAAATAAAACATATTCACCTAGGGAAAAATTAACATCTTGGTTTGGAAGTGAAATCTACAAACAAAGACTTGGGATTTTCTACAGTGAAATCAAAAAAGAATCATCACTGTCTAAACTCATTTTTTTGTTTAAAAAATTCTAACAGTGGAAGAATTTAATCAACCATAAAAGAAAAGTATTCCATGTGAATCTAATTTAAATAAATATTCAGATAATGCTGGTAATGTTAATGTAACTCCAAAATAAGTAGTTATAAAGGGTATTCTTCTATCAAAAGAAAATTTAGGATACATAAATATAGGCTTTGTATTTTCAAACATGGCCCACATTGTTTATTTTCCAGAGTAGTTTATTTATTGTTTATGGACAAGGACCAGAGTTCAGTAAGAAATCAGAATTACATCCATAATGACGTAAGTAACACAACTCCATATGTCAAAATAATTCAGGTTTAGAAGAAACCATTCAGCAAAAATGATGAAAAATTGTTATGGGAAGATAAGATAAAAAAGAAACACAGAGAACTTCTTTCTAATATATAGAGAGAGTGAAAGGGTTTGCTACTGCCTCTGAATGGGGAGGGTATCGTTGCTACTGTCTGCCATTTATTGTATCTGTACTTCAGGTTCTGTCTCCACAGTGTAGTACGCCAATTACCAAGAGGCTTTCTAGCCATAATAACTCTAAACTGCTACATACATACACACATAAACACATACATCCCAAATAATAAAAACAAGTTCATTTGTTTTCATCGTTTAGGATTAACTGCTGACTTTGTTACTGCTTTACGAAAAAACGTTTTACTACACAAAGTTGCAGAAAGAAGCATCCTCTGCATAAAGATGTGATTGTTAAACCACTCAGAGACATCTCTTTTCTGTGTCTATTAAGATGTTCATTTATTCGTTGACATAGGTTTGTTAAAGCAACTTAACATCATTGTTTTGATCACAAGTTGCTGCAGAGAAGTACACTTGAAGTAATACAAGATAATCATAAAAATGTCAAAAAATTCTAAGGTAAAATGGTGTGTCAAGCTAAATCACAATATTTTTTGAATTTCTAAAAAAGAATGACAACTTTTTTTTTTCCAAAATACCAGTCAGAAAAAGAGCAAAACACTCCAGAAATCTATGGTATGCTATTCAGCTTTCAAGCACTCCCGCCCACCCCAACCCTAAGTAGACCAGAGAGAAAAAAGTTAATGACAATGTCTGAAGAACTTCACTATGACCTTCTAATCTGGATGGCGAGAGGCGGGAAGATGTGGAAAGCCGTGTGCTGGAGACCTGCCTTTCCCATCACCAGTGACTCCAGATGGGGGATGGTCCAGCCAGATCCATCACTGGGGTTGGTTCTCAAGGCTAGAAGAAGGACAGAACCCAACTGTGCTCTCTCTGAGCCAATGAACTCCATCAATAAAGAGGGCTCTACCAGAACACAAGCAAGGAATGGAGTGCTGATGGAAATGGGTGGAGAGAAGAAGGCTCGCAACAAGAATCCTGGAAAACTCCCTTTCAAGTTCTCCTTGCCCATCAGGCATGGTGAGCACCAGGCTAAAGCACTTAGGTTTCATCTCCTTCCCTCAGTGAAATGGGAGGAGAGTGAGGGTGGCCACTGGGGAGAGACACATGAGATGACATTCACAGGAATGAAAACATGTGTGCATCACTTTTTAATTTACTTTTCAAAGAGTGATTGAAATACCTAATGAACTGAAAACATTTGTGTTGAAGAGTCACACTGACCATTATCCATCCAGTTACCCCCATGGCCTCCCACTGGTCAATTTTATGTTTCTCCTATATTCTTCTACTGTTTCTTTATAAATATAGTATATTCTTTCTATCTCTTTTTGAAAAAAGTATTATATATAGTATATGCATCACACGTGCATCATATGCAACATGCACGATACACATATGTATATGTAATTGCTTGTACATTTGTGCACGTGTTACATGCATGTACATGTGTTACATGTGTTCTATATAATACTTTTTGGGAAAATATTACATTCATTTACACACACAAACAGCCAAATACCAGTATATACATAGATTGCCTTTTCTCATTAATACTGTGACCTCAGAGCTTTCCACACCAGTACACAGAGAACTTCTTCACTCTTCCTTACAATGACATAATCTTCCAGCACGTGGGTGTACCCATCTGTCCCCTGTTCCTGGATATGTGAGTTGTTTCCAGTCTACTACTATTATGAACAATGCTGCAATAATAACTTCAGGCAACAGTCATTTCGTATGTGTGCATGCAAGCTCATCCATACAATAATTCTACCAAATGGAGTTTCTGTACCAAAGAACAAATGTATTTATGATAACAATGATTGAACATTTTTTTTGGGGGGGGGGTGTTTTTAACTTGACACAATGACAATCCTACTTCCCCCTCCCTTGCCACAGCAAAGATCCAAGACCACCACAGCTACCAATTATTATTGCCCACAGCCCAACAGAGCTAATCACATCCCTTTAGTCAAGAGAAATGTGGAAAAATATAACTCATCAAAATGAAGTCCTGAGACAGACTCTGAAGGGAAGATCAGAACAGCTCTGAGATATGAAGGACCATGGTCTGGAATATATGCACTCGATATCTAGGCAAAAGAGGGTCCAGTGGAATCCTCCACATTAAACAGGACTAAGATGGAAAGAACAGCTTGGCAAATATGCAAAAATATTATAGACATAAAAAAGAATATAAAGAAGAAACATAGCATACAAAAACTACAATGCTCCAGAATCAGACTGTCTCAATGCAAATCCCGGTTCTGCTATAAAAAAACTGGGGACTTTGTACAAGTTATCAAATATATTTGTGCTTTGATTTTATGTGTAAAATGGTAATAATTATAGGACCCACATTTAGGGGTTTTAGTATATAATTACAGTACCTATAAAGATCAAAAGGACTTATGGCAATGCCCCCCAAACTTCAGCAGCTATTACTGTTATTAAATACGCACCAAGAAGCTGAAGGAAAACTGACACAGCAAATGCTTATGCTCCGGGACAGCGCTACTCAAAGTGCAGTCCACAGACAAGCTGCCTGTCTCTGACCTTTCTGGTGCTGGCCTACGACAAGACATGGGGATTGTGCCAGGATGTCAATCAACTACATGCTGTTCAGTTCAGCTGACTTTTTTCATAGTAAGATATTTTCAATGAAGAAACCAGAATGGTTTACACTGGGTGTGTGCTTCTTATATTATAGATAATCACCTTGATTAATATTCATCTAGGAGACAATAAAGAGAATATGTTATCAATAAAACAAAAATATTAGCCCTGGCCAGGTAGCTCAGTTGGTTAGAGCATTGCCCCATATGCCAAGGTTATGGGTTACATCACTGGTCAGGGCACATTCAAGAAACAACCAATGAATGTATAAACAGGTGAAACAACAAAGCAATGTTTCTCTCTCTCTCCCCAACTTCCTCTCTCTCTAAAATCAATAAATAAAAATATTTTTTAAATACTGAAGATGAGACGACACAATTAGATGAAAAGAGACTGTAGAAAAATCAAGGAGCAAACACCATGAAATAAATATGAAATCAAAATCGTATCAGTTAAATGACAGAAAGGCTTGAAAAAATATCACAGAATATGGAAAGGAAAAAATATAGCTATGGAGATATCTTTTAAACAGCAACTGATATAATCAAAACAAATGCATCTGAAATAGAAAATCTAATAAATACAACAAAAAACTCAGAGATATAACAGATTCACCACCCTAATCCAAATGATCCACCTTACTGATGACAACCAGACATTATGTGCCTCCTGATGTAATCAGTAGGATGTGCACAGTACAGTGTATGACAGGATTTGCTAATGATGTTGAGTAGGCATAGAACATAGAGTTTGGACTTTGGAGGAGAAGTCCAGCCAGAAGATGTATATTTGGCATTTATCTGTCTATAGATTATAGTTAAAACCTAAAAACTATATGAAATTTTAAGAGTGGGTCTAGATAGAAAATGAAAGTGGATTTCTGACTTGCCAGCCCCCACCATCACGGGAGCCCTTTTCTAAAATAAATCTCCCTCCCTCTTTCCATCTCTCCTCTCTCTCTCTCTCTCTCTCTCTCTCTCTAACCTATTAGCCCTGTTTCTCTGGAGAACTCTATCACAGACTTCTTTAAAAGTTTGTTGCCCTAAAACTAAAATTTAATGTTTGCATTTTTAAAACATTATGACCACTTGGGAAGAGAGGCTCCCAAACAATAAGTAAAATAATAACCAATAGTAATTTGATAAGACTGTCAGCTGATTTCTCAAAAGAAA